CGCAGAAGACTTGGCAATGCTGGCGCCGGCAGCCAGGAAAAGCTGGAGATGGTCGCTGAACTCGTCGCTGGGCCTAGCATGCAATTTATGTATGTCACTGGCCTCGCTGGCCCTTGCCTTGTCTGGATCTCGATGTGCCATGGCTTTTCTGCAAGGGAGCTGGTTCAAACATTCCAGCTCTAGGCTGGCCAAACAACCCGTGCAGCGGCAACCTGAACTGTAGCGCTCACCATTCATCCAGCTGACGTCGGTGTGCCCAACTCCTCCTGAGTAAGAACCCTCAGACATCCGATGTCTTGCCTCGTAAACACCAAGCCCGGCAAGCTGCCGTTGAAGGTGTGATGCTTGTAGCGCTAAGGCCTTCTCAGCCTTCTCCAACTCCTCCATGAGGACAGAAAACTTCTTGCCCCGATTGGCCTCGATGAAGGTATGCCTTGAGTCAGCTGTGGGACATCTGCCTTCTACTCCGTGGGCTGCACTCCATTGCGCTGCAGCCAGGTCGCAAGTGGTGCGCAAGCCGCATTGCGTGATTCACGCGGCCTAGAGCCCCTATGCCAGCTGGCGCATCCTGCAGTTCAGCTGGGCACCAGCTGCCGTCCATGACGTGAAGCTTATAGCCGTTGCGTCATTGCTGCAAAATGGGAAACACCTTCATGGCCCGACAGCTTTTCTAGCTGCCGAATTCAATCACGAACAGCTTCAAGCTGCGGAGTGTTAACAGCATTATAATAGTTTCTTGATGATAGCAAACGCCTGTCACACCCAATGTCGTGTACCATTATAAGCAACTGCCAAAGGCTGCGGAAACAAAGGTGTGCAAATCTATGTGGAGCCCGATTCTTGGGAAAACATGCTACATGGACTCCTGGGTCGCAAGACTTCTTCTAGAACCGATGATGCCTCCTTATTGCAAGAGTCCAGAAACGCCACAGCCCAGCCGCTGCTACAAGTAGCTCTTGCTGGCTTTCACCACTCACGTGATGCATCGAGCTAGTTTCAGTTGCCTCTCTCCGGCTTCTGTATCATGCCTTGGCTCCTCACCGCCGCGCCTACTGCGCTTTCGCGAGCCTTGCGTAGTCAACCCACATCCCCAAATATGAGAGACGACACAGCGAACACCACCTCGACTTTTGAGCAAGGTCGCCCCAATAGGTTCGGATGGGTGCCTGGCAGGACAGATTGACACATGTTTGACAGAAATTGTCATACGAGGGTGCAGTCAGGACACAACGCAACAACACTGCAACCACATGGTGACATCTCACGCACCTGCTGCAGCTTGTGTCTGCACACGCGGCTGCGCTTGGGCGCAGCCCATGACCTCTCATGACAGTCCACTACATGCCGCACCATGAGGGGAAAGCTGAATAGCACGTGGCTCCACGTGTACCTTCTGAAAGATTGGAATGCCGAATGCCGATAATGCTGTCTGCGCCTGTTCCAGCTATTCCTGGCGCCCGCGGCGCCCGGACAAAAAGCCCACTTCTGAGCTTGTCAGCACAGCGGCATAACATGGCTGCGAACTCATGTGCAGACCACTGATGTCTGTGCACGATACAGACCTGCACGGTACCGAAGCAGCAGGTTTCCTTTTTTCGATTGGTTCCCAGAAGCGGCACTGCTCGAAGGGTAGTTGTTTCAACAGATTGTCTGTCTCGCTTCATGTTAGAAGCAACTAATCACAAAAAATCTCCTTCACGGATTCCCTTTCAATAGAACGCAGACTGAGTTCTACATAATGTTTGCTGCACCTTGTCTATCCAAGTCTAGGCTTGAATTTACAAGGAACCGATGGAGGTGCTGGGCGTCCTGAAGCCAGATGCGGTTCAGGGGCTCTCCCAGCCATAAATCTGCTGTATCCTCCGGGACCGTTCTAGTACCCAGGGCACGTTTCTTGGATGTGTCACCTGTTGATACCTGTTGTCCACGAGCCTTCCAAGATACATGTCGCTTGGGGAGCTGCCTCAAAGCAGCACATGATCCTATCTCAAATGCCGGATTCAATAGATGGTGAGGCGCTGCATAACCCTAGCTGGGTTGAACGGAACCGGTACCTGTCCAGAAAGCTCATCTGATGCCATTTGCTCGTCACATCGTAGGGCTGACCGCCTGGGTCGGGAAGCTAATTTGCTCTCTGAGCCCGAGGTCCACTTCTACTTAGCAATCCACTAAGGCCGGAAGCCTCAGGCGTTTAGATCCAGGGATCGGGAATCCACCACGCTGAAGTTGTTAGATCAGTTTGAATGCTGGTCGGGTCGCAGCCTCCCCCAGATCCTGGGGCGTATCCGACCGTTTGCGATCAAGCGTCCCTCTTTTGCCCGCGCCCAGGCTCCCCGACACAGGGTGTACAGAAAAGGAGAATCCCTTAGACTTACAACAAATCCACAAACACGCAGTAAGACGCGGCGTATCCATGAGGCATCAGGACAACATAGAGGACAGTGATAGCCAGCGATAGCGCTTCAATGCACGCGGAGCTTGGCCTCTCTCGCTTCTGAGGCGGGACTTTCCGAGAAAGCGGAGAAGTTCAGCTTGCGCGAAGCGCGAGGAAGGAGAAGAGTAAGCCGACACTTGCCACATGCGATGCATGCAAATTTTGGTCCGAGGCAACAAACTAAGGACAGCCTAGGCGCTCTTCCATCGAAAGGGAATATTGCAGGGTATGCAGTGAAGTATGAGGCGCACTCTCAGCCAGGCGGATTCGTTTCGGACGCCTGTGCAGCCGAGCTTCAGCTGGAGGTCTCTGCTATGCACAAGCTGTATCAAGCTGTCGTCTGAGATAACAATGAAGACTGTGACTGTCCGTCCAAGCTAGCACAATGACCCCAACAGCAAAAGCAGAATCAACTCTTACCTTTCGGTGAGCTACTTCACATGCCGCTACCATCCGCTACCTGAAGTCCGGCGCCTAGCCTACTCGAATCACCTTGATTTGGTAGAAGACGGCCACTGGCATGCAACGCCACAAATTCATAGGCCTGAAGTATCCGGCAAGCGGGCCTTGGCTTGGATTTTGGTAAACCGCCACGGCCGTCTTATCTTTCACCCGGAACATCAAGGCGGTTGCCGGTAGTCCGTAGCTCTTGGTCTCGGCATTTCTTTTTCACTTGCCTGCAGAAAGCGCAACTTGGAATGCAGAATGCAGTTGCAAACCCGTCTTCCACCAGGTGCATCCTGTTTGCCGAGCTTGCGCATCTTCTTTTCTGCACAGGCTTACCAACTGATCACTTGCGAACCTCCATGCTGTACGGCACCAGCATGCACTACCTCCAATAGTATGGATGCCCACGTGTAATGCCAGCATGTGCCAGCCTAAGCCTGTGGGTGAAACAAGGCGATGGCAACGCCCCAAGGGAGACTCGGCACTGGTGACGTGCAGACTTTCGCGGGGCTTGCTGCTGTTTCTGCAGCAATCTACCCTGCAGACATTTGGGTCGGAATCTTCAGTCGCCAGAGCTGCGTGACTCCTGCCATCCTGCAAGGAAATCACATTACCTGCTTTGGCCTATGGCTTCAATCTATCGCACGTGGTCACACGGCCCCCTTTGTCTACCACAAGTCGATCACAATGAAACATCCAGCAAATGCGGTTTGTTCAACATTCCGTTTCCCGGTGTAAGGGCCATGGGGCGGCGCTTGCGCAAAGCTTAAGCAATTTTGCGCACGCGACAACTAGGACGTAACTAGGGCGATAACCTGTACACAAACATTGCGCGACGCGTGGGTTGGGTTTGCGCGTACCTTTTTGAGCGAGCCAATCTTAACAACTTTTCTGTAAATAAAGGTTAGAACAATGAACGAATGCATTTGCACACGCTTCGTTCCCCACACTTGATAGTGCAACCATGTGAGCAAGATTGCTGCAGGGAAAGGTAGCGGCGCCTGCGTGCCCACCGCCTCAAGCCATTAACCATCCTGCTCTTCTTGTTCAGTCTGGAGCTCTTTCAGCTGCTGCGTCAGACTCGTGACCTGGCTTGGGCTGCCACATGAATGCCTCGAGCTCCCTTAAGGTCCC